GTCTATTTACTTGTGACCATGCTGTGTATGATACATTGGACCACATAACCTTCCAACAGTCCCTATTAATCCAATGTTTATGCTCTTTACACTGTTTGAGGCTTTTTTCTTGTTGATAAATGAACTTGCTGGTTTATACAATGGTATCGTACTGCAATACTCCATTTGTTGTATTGTTCTTTTCAGGGTACAGGTGTAGAGATAGGTATGGAATACCCTTCACTTGAATGTCTATCAGTTGTTGTACTGTTTGATGATGGTCTGAACTTTACCATCCTATCTAACAATCTGTCTCCTCTTTCTGTCATTATGTGTTTTTGGCCACAATTCCTCCCCTTGCATCAAACATTTTATTTCTCTTTTTCCATTGTTGATAAACTCTAATGACCAATGTCTTGGAGCAGCCTACCAATGAGTTTCCTGGCCACTGTGGCATTTGTTAGATGTGCACTCACTACCATGCCTCTTTTGTTTTTTAATACTGCAATATCTTTGCCTTTTCCCATATCTCTTAAACTGATTGCAAATATGCTTATCCCATCACTTATAGTGCTGCAGGGATCACTTGACATATCAAGCAATCAACCTATTTGAATTTGCAGCTTGAATCAGGCCCAGGTCTGAAAGGGTATATAGTTCCTATTAAATTGACCAGAAAGTGTATAACAGTGTTTGAAGAGTTTACAGGAAATTTCCATTGTGTATTCTGTTAAAAACATAAAGATCAAGTTTAAAATTTTAGTAGTGTACATTTCATTATTGGGTTAAAGGCATATTCTATTGTGTTCATTTACTTTTTTTATATCTTCAAACCCCTGTGTAACATTTAAGATATGGTTCTGTCCACATAAACTGATGCTCTAGCTGTGTTTTCTTTTGTTTCAGTACAAATCTTATTGCTTTAACAGGTAAGTTCACTTTCAAGCTATTAAGCAAAGTTTTCTTTTCATATAGATTGTCTACTATAATTCATGCAGATGAAATCCTGGTTATAAGAGAAGGAGAAATCATAGAACGAGGAAGGTTTGTATAATATCTGTTAAGATAATGCTGATAAGATTTTTATTTTAAACTTGGAAATGCTAGAACAGTGTGATTTTTTGTTTGTGAATCTTAGAATAACTATATATATCAAAACATCCAAAGTCTTGTGTACTTTGTGCTCATTTCATTTATTCTTTGTTCCTGTCACTAAAATATATATGTTTGTGTGTCTGTTATAATATCTATGATTTAAAGATAAATTTAAACTGGAATTTATTTATTATGCCTCCACAGCAAAGCATCACAAAGCAGAGCATATTGGTTTGTCCCTGTTTGTCTGTTTATTCATCCATTCCAATCTTGTGGATAGGATATCTCAAAATTGGATTGATAGACATTGACCAAACTTATGTAACAGGTACTACATACAAGATTCTAGAGCTGATTAACTTTTGAAGGTTGTGGGTCAAATGTCAAGGTCAAAAGGTTACTGGTTCATAGAAATTCTTCTCCAAACTTGTAGACATTATATTTCAATACTGGATGTTGACCAAGTACTACAATGTTTTAAACCTGATTAACTTTTGAAGGTCATGGATCAAGGTCAAAAGCACTGTTGTGCAGAAAATCTGCCCCAGTCTTGTGGATAGATGCTTCTTCATCAAATTGGAGGGGACTTAAACACACAGTATAACATTACTGGGGGCATAAATGTTTCATAAACAATTTCACTTGTTTCTTATTGAAATGGGCTGAGTTAAAAGTTATGATATATTTTTGATTAAGGTTAACATGTTCCCCAGAGGGTCGGTGCTAAGTTTATGGACTTTACAACATTAAAATCTTGGGTTTGATTCCCTGTGGCGGACAGAACAAAGATAATCTATTGTGTAACTTTGCACTAAAAAAAATCAATAAGGCTAAACTTTTAATAGTTAAATAGCTTTTAAAAAAGTTTAAGCTTTTTTGTTGTTGTTGTCTAGGTAACCATCAAGTATGACTAGATTAAGTAACATAAGAAAACACTGTTACTTGTTTATTTTAAACAACTTGCTATATATTTAATAATGTCAATCTCATGATGTTGTGCTTCACAACAGCTTCCAGTTAGTTATGTGGAATATGTTGAAAGTTCCCAACTAAACAGACCAATCACCTGGTGTTTATTGTGTTTGACCCATTGTTGGGCTACCTAGAAATCAAAAATGTTGTTGTATATTAATTTTGTCTGTTAGGGTGTGTAACTCTGACCCCTGAAAAAGAAAGGTCCACCTTTCAAAAGCGCTCTGGTTATCGGATTTTTATTCATTTATACCAAGACTTCTTGAACCTATGTGTTTTTTTAACATCATGAGAATACATGAGTAGGTCACTTTTGAGAGCAAATGAATAATTACTATTAATATTAATATTATTAATTAATATTAATATTATTATTTTAATAATTACTACAGTTGCCATATAATCCATACTTTAATATTCCCCTCAAAAGTAAATGTTGAAAGAAAAACTAGTACTTTCTTGACAGTAAGTTTAAAGTTGCAAGTGCTAGACATTTTAAATGGTAGTGCTGTTGAGTGTTTGTATTGAACAGTTTCATGAATCCTCACCCTCTACATTCATATTAGTATAAAATATGTGTGAACTTGGGTGCTTTAATTCACCAGTATTGCTGTATACTTGTGTTTACAGATTATGTAGATTCAATTTTTATTTAAAGTGTAACTTCATGTATTTTGTTGTAGAACAGTTTATTTTTGTACAAGGAATTATAGACAAAGAGTAACTTGTAAATGTATAAAGAAAATAGTTTATTTTTCCTTTTTCTTCACCATATAACGGTAGAAAACCAGGACTAGATTACTTTGTGACATTAGGAACCAAAAATATCCAACTGAAAGCAAATTAAATCACTGGTATACTTGTTATCAGACAAAACTAACTTAGCAGTCTTACATCTAATAACATAAATTTCATTCAAGCTTTGATAGTTGAGATCTTAGATATATAAAAAAAATGTATTTATAATTAAAAAGTATCAGAAACTCAAAGTTTTCTTTACCTAGTACTACTGTTACATACTAACTTTATAGATTGTGCTTAAAATGGTAATAGCGTTAGAACAATAGTTTTTTCAATATATTAACCAATGTGTTAAAGATGCTTCTTAGATGTTTCTCTACATGACCAATATTAACATGCCTTGCAAATGTTTGCAGCATACAAGAGAGAACTGTCATTTCTGTTCAGTATGTGTAAAAGACAAAACAACATTATCTTTACTGAGCTTCTAGGTGGTTTCCTTAACACATAACCTTGAAAGTTTTTAAAATAATAACAAATTTTAATATTGTTGCTTGTAAGTAATCAAAAAATTTTAAATTCTTATAGAATGATAAATTAATGTGATACCAAATGCTTATTTTTGATGTTACATGTTGTTTAAACAAATATCTAGAGAACTGAACTGAGTAGGAATTTGTTTGGGGTTATAATACTCATAAGTCAAACTTCTTTCACCAAATACATCAAACACACATTTCTAAATATTGTTATAGGGGATGATGGTTTCTTAATAGTCAAGTGTGAACATGTAAGTTTTAGAGGGGAGTTTTATGTTACTTATTCCATCCTATGCCAAATATCTTGTATGCTAGTCAAAACATCAAACATAAGGGCAATTTTAAGTCCTCAGAAACTAAGAACCGAACAATATTTGAACAGTTTGTAAGCATAATAGTTTTGTCTTGTGTTTTTGTATTATTTTAGTTATAGATAATTATCTACATTAATTTTTGTATGTGTTTATAGACATGAAGAACTTCTAAAACTGAATGGATCTTATAGCGAAATGTGGCATCAACAAATCCAAAAGAGAGGTCACACCTCAGAGTCTGATAACAGTACATTGGAGACATAATGATTGGTAGGTCCATAGGTGCAGTCACGGGTTAAACTTTGGAGGGGAGGGTATACGTGCAGCAGTTATTGGGGCTGAGAAAACATTTTAAACTTCCTTATTGAGACCTTGGATGGATCTGCAGAAACCATTGTAATTTCCATTGTTCTGATATTTGAATCACAAATTTTTTTGAGAAATTTTGAACATGATTTACAAGAAGACAAGAATCATTTTGAGTAATAGTATTATATACTAATTTTGTTGAGTTACAATTAGTAATACACTATGTAAATTATATCCATGGATTTTGTATTGGGCACAATCAAGCTGGAACTCGTGCCTAACAAGGTGATAATAATGTGTTTGATTTAGAGATCCATATACAATTACCTGGATGGATACTGATTCAAATGGCATATCCATACTTGTTAAGATAATTTACTCATTTTAAACCACTGGGAAAGAGGGGGACAACAAATATATTGTTCATCCTCCCCAGTCAAGATATTGGGGTACCAAATCCCTCCCATTTCCACTCGGAGGCAGCACCTAAGAGTAAACCTATTACAGTCCTGTTATCCATAATTTGTTTTAATTCTTGAAAGGATCTATTAACTTTGATAGGTTTGAATTGTAGGCTTTCTTATTGTAACTTGTCAGTTTTGTAAACAGTAGTTTTTCGTAAATGATCTTCATGTCACTCGTATTCTGCAATAAATATTTTTTACATATTTACTCAAAACATGGGTATTTCAAAATATAAAAATATTGTATTGTTAGCTGCTTTCATATTTGACAGTTATGATTTTTTCTTTCTGCTATTATTATCAACATAATTTTATGAGATCTGAAGAGTAATTAACTACTAACTTCATATTAAAAATTATATATTTTTTGTTAGCCTGTGGTTATTTTAAAAGAGCCATGAGCTGTCAAAAATACTTGAATGACAGAAAAGTCTGGAAATTTCAATTATTTATAGTTTTTAACCATGCATTTCAACACATATTGTAGGTATCTTTTGCATTTTAATTCAGTTTTTCTAGACATATTTTATTAAAGGAGCCTTTTTTTATGGTTTGACAAACTTTTTTTACCCAGGCATGTACATCTCTTGTTATATAAATATTTATCTGTCAAAAAGAGAAGTGATGGTGTAGTGGTCAATGGTTTAAGTTCATACAAAGATAACTGATATTATTAAGCCTTTTTATTTTCCTTGTTTTTTTTTTCAAAATATTTATTAGGAACTTTAGTTTAAATAATTTTTGTATTTTTAGCAACTTCTAAATATTGTATGTGTAAGCTTTATTGAATAAATGAATTATTGAACAAGTGATGGTATTTTATAACTTGAATTTATCTATAAGTGAAACTGTATAATGAAGCAGAAATATTACTTATATTAGTATGCATCCACTTACAAAGTAAAATTACAGTTTTTGTTATTTTAATAGTGTAGTCCTTGTTTTTAACTCCTGTATGATGGCTTTCTAAAATATATGTATTAAAATACCTAAGTTAAACAGCCAATGCTTTATCTAATATTTCTGAAATTTTATCAATAGATGTCTTTCTGGTGTCAAGGGGCCGGCATGGCCAGGTGGTTAGGGTGCTGGACTTGAAACTTGAGGGTCGTGGGTTCAATTCTCCGTCCCACCAAACATGCTCACCCTTTCAGCCATAGGGGCATTATAATGTGACGGTCAATCTCACTATTCGTTGGTAAAAGAATAGCTCAAGAGTTGGTGGTGGATGGTGATGACTAACTGCCTTCCCTCTAGTCTTACACTACTAAATTAGGGACGGCTAGCACAGATAGCCCTCGTGTAGCTTTGCACGAAATTCAAACACACAAACTGGTGCCAAGGTATTAATTGAGCCAGATTTAATTAATACACTTGTACATCATGCAAGCATTCTTTTATACTTTTAAGATGTTAATTTATGTTTATCATCAAACCAGTTATCAGGTGAGTCTTTTTTTTTTCAGTGGATCAGTGCATCCAGCCACTTATGCCATGAAAAATATAGGAAATTCACAGGAAAATATAAGAATATATGGAGGAAATACTGGGTATAATTGTCAAAATATTGTATCAAATAAGGCCAGTGTATCACATTTGAAATTGAATTATGGGAAGACAAAGAAAAATAATAGAAACAAATATTGTATAGTCACTCCTGCTCCACCATTTTATTAACATTAAAACAAATATGAAGGCTGACTACAAAAACATGTAAATAGATTCAAAATCTGTACCAACATACATGTTAATATTCTATTGGAATAAGCTAACAATCTGATGTGGTATAAATCATGTGCATGAGTCACACTTAGTTACTAATATTTTTGTCACATTTAACACATGATGCATTTTATTTTTATTTGACTCAATTAAGCTATAGTAAAAAATATGTATATTGTAACATTTAATGAGTAAATATTTAAACATTAACGTAATATCCTTAATCTCAATTATGTAAGCAAATATCAGAGATACTTAAATACAATTTATTTTCATAGCACATGTCAACCAGACTAGAGCAATAGCAAAAATGAAACTACAAACAGTTAATCTGAATTAAATAAACTTTATAACACAGACTTATCACTACAACAGTCTCTGAACACGAGGTACTGCACATTTGTCTATAGGCTACTTACTGTGGAGCAGAAGATTAACTATAATCTTCTAAATCTACTAAAGTAATTCTACATTCTACATGTTAACAAATATTCTTTCTTATACATGTTTGTTTTTGCTGGCAAATCCAGATCCTTTGCTAATGTATCAAAAAATTTTCGTTTTGTTTTGCCAGGGTTTGCCTTGATTCCATTGTTGATTTAAGGACGTTTGAGGTCTCTTTGCATTTCTTCTGACCTGCCTCGATCATTGCATGAACCACACTAGCAGCAGCAGCAAAATCTGTTTCTTTGATAGCTTTAGCCAATTTGTCATTCCCTTCATTTAAGAGCTTCTCACCCACACTTAATGAATCCTTTGCTTCATTTTCTTTGGCACACAATTTGTCTTCTTCTTGAGAAAGTGCAGCATTGTTTTTTACCAACTCTTGTGTTTGTTCCTTCCTCTTATCTGCTTCCTCCTTTAACCTTTCTGCCTCAGCTTTTGACTCTTTGGTCAGTTGGTCTGTTTTCTCTTTTTCGGCTTTCATTACTTCCAATCTTTGTTCATAGGCAGTGTAAGCACCCTTGACAGCAAGCAAAAGCTTTTTAGTAATTGGCACATGTTCTGGCCTTCCCATTCCTGGATCAAAGAACCTCACAGCATCTTTAGGTATCTTAACAGCATTGGTGGTTTCTGCACTCATTGATGCTTTTTTGGTAGTCACCAAATGCTTATTTACAGAGAATACCCTCTCTATGTCTGCATTTACATGAGCTAGAATCAGTGAAGATTTCACAACCTTCCCCAGCTTGGAGTATTTAGGTTTTCCATCAGTTCTAATCTGTGCAAGAACATCCCTCCAGTAATGATTGATAGGTGCCTCACCCACATTTTCTGAATGGTCCTGCATACTGGCCTTCTCAGCTGAAACAACAAGATAGAAATGTTGTTTTGTAGAACACAATATAAGTAAAAAGGTTGCTGCTGCTTCAACTCTGAAAACAAAAATATTAAGTGACCACGTTCAACTGAAATTAAGTAATAAATCAATCAATTATGCATGTATAAGAAAATATTTAACCATTTGAAACACTATATTGTGCTTCAAATATTCATCAGTAATATATTTTATATCTAAAGCTCATAATCCAACCCAAATATTTCTGCTCTAACTAATTACTATCCATTAAACTGGATAGCAACAATGAGTCACAATACAGCATAAGAATTATTTTTTCAAGAAAATTTTTCTTACCTTAATGACTGAAGAACACGGCTTCCTTGTACATATGGATTGCTGATACAGTTGTGAATATGGATGATTCAATTTATTCTCCAGAGAAAAAAAATTCTACGATAACATTATCATACTTTCATTTCAAAGAAATTTTGGATGTATGTAACACGTTTGGAAGGCTTTTATAACCGTTGAAATTAAAATACCAATTAATGTTATAACTGCCACATATAATAGTAGTACTTAACATTACCTTGTTTTAGGGATCTAATTGGCAGTTTTACTTTTAAATATTAAAAAATCCCCAAGACCTGAAAATAGAAGAATATCACAAAAACTATCGGATATATAGGAATACACACAAAAATATAGGAACACTGGATGCCCTGATGGATATTGCTGGTAAAAACAAGTAATAGGTAGGGTGGAAATCAATATCATTATTGACTTGCCTCCAAAAAATTTCAAGGTTGTTCAGTAATACAACTTCCTTGTGGGTTTGTGTAGTGATATAAAATATTATATCGTTGATTTTATTGAAGTTCATTGTCTAATTGATCCATTACGTCACATCTTGCGTCACATTACGTCACATCTTGCGTAAATACCATATTATATATATTTTTTGTACTTTATTAAACATTGCAATAGCCTTTCTGATGTACTAAAACATTATCTCTGTTTTTTTCTTCCAACATCTTGCTGATGTATTCTGGACAGTATATTTTTTTCTTAGATCTATAATTATAACATTATTAGCTTAATCTGATGTTGCTTGCGTGGTATGGAATCATTGCCGTAAGATATGGTATTTCTATGATTTCATATGTTTTAGTTTTTCAATTATTTATGTAGAAACAGAACATAAAAAAAAGTAATTTTGCTGATGGTAAGGTGTTTTTTTATGTAAGGATAGATGTTGAATAAAAGTTGTTATGAAGGCATATTGTGAGATATGAAACCATTTCATGTAAAATATGAAGAGAATACAAATTTAAAAACCTTTAACTCCCAGTCTGTGAGCCGATGAGACTGATTTTGGGGGGACTGAGGAGGAAAAGAGGGGTATCATAGTTTCTTGTATTCAAGCTAGGACTAAAAAAAGTACTCTGATCAAGGGTATGATCTATTAACCACAGAAAAACCACACTTTACTGCCAAAAGAACTTTCCCCTCAATAATGTTCCGTCACAAAGATGTGGAGTTTAGGGGGCTGGCTGGATTGCTTTCCTCTTGTACAAAATTGTAGAAGTTTTCATGTTGGCATACACTTCAGGCAGGTACCACATTTAGCTACCTTACAGCAGCCATTAAGCTTTCCTCGGCTATCTCTGTTGATAGAACTCACGCAAGCCATTTTGAAAACTGCTTTATTGAGTTGAGAAACGAAATATTATATTGTGCAACGTGCATCCACTATTGTGTTTTGTGTGGAATTTTGAATGGTGGCATGGGATTTACTCCTTCAGAGCCTGGAAACTAGTGTGAATTAAGCCATGCTGGTGGGCAATTCTGGAAAGCTTTGTTTGTTAATCAGTCCACTAAAAATGTCTGTGTAAGATTCCATAAACTAAAGTATTCAATGTGTTAGAGATTTTAGGAGAAACGTAAAATAAGGGTATAGAAGAGTTGACTTGAAAATGCGTAAACTAGTAGTGCCTTCACATAGTGGTGGAATCTACAACACATATTTATAATTTTATTTCACAGATTATATTAAATATAAATATTTACTGATTATGTTTTTATGGTTTAAAAAAAGTAAGAATTACCGATATTTTGTGCATTTTTTTAAATGTAAATGTTTCATTAATTGGTCATTATGAACAGAGTAATAGAAGTCGCATCAGATTTAGAAAGGTATTCAGATATATCAATAAAAAGAAAGCTAATTCAGTGTGCTGATATAACTGAAGTCTTAGGGTAACTTTTTGCATCAACAGAAATACTTTTTGTTCTTTCAACACCTGCCAAAAATTCAACTGTTCAAATATTTTTGTCTTTAAATGCTTTAGAACAACTATAGAAAAACAAAAAACTTTTAACTATTCTTTAGGCCATAAAGTATGCATATAATCAAAGATAAACAAGACACTTACCTACCAAATTTGTGGGAATATTTTTTTTCAGTTTCAACTTCATGTTAAAGTAATTATTCAAGTTCGGATATTTTTTAAGCAACAATGACTTATTGAAACAATAAAAGTTCATGTTAATTTGTTAGCCTTACACACATATCCAGTATTTAATTTTTTTTCTTATTTTAGAGAATTGTAACATAAAAAAAAAGCCGAGTCAGCTAGCAGAATCCTACGTCATAAGGGCCTTGAACTAAATAACGGGTTTATTTTCACATTTATGATGTTTCTAATCGTGGAACGTCTTCAATAGCATCAAACCTGGAACCTTCGACTATTTTAAAATGCAGCCCGTCTTACTATAGTCTCATGAGAACCAAGTGTCACATTTTTAGTTTGCTACATATTAACGTGGCCTCTGGTGGCTAGGCGGTAAGTCTGAAGGCTTATAACGTAAAAAAACCCGGTTTTGACACCCGTGATGAGTACAGCACAGATAGCCCAAGGGGTATCTTTGTGTTTAACAAAACAAATAAATCATATTAACATTATTTTTTACGCTTTAATCAGCAATATGTTAATGTGAGTCGTAACCACCATGTTTTCTAGTGTTTTGGCTGAACCTATTATTTTGAGAATAGAAACTCTTTGGGTACATACTTGTGATATCTGGCAAAATATTTTCTCGAATGTGGGTGTAGTTTTAGATAAAGTCAAATGACATATTGTTACGTATCTGCTTGTTTGTTAATTTCCGGTATAAATTATTTCCGAGGAACTTCAGCGATACAAGTCCCTTCTTGATTAAAACTAGTTTATTTTTTCTAGATACAACTTTGTAATACACAGAATTTTCACAGTCAATTTAAACTTAACAACCTTTATAACACACGCTATAAATCACAGTGATTCACACACTTCACTTACGATGCCTACTGTTTGCTTGATTAAATTATTTATCACTTCAATATCTATCTATATATCTTCAATCAATCATCCAGCAGGCTTTTTCTGCCAGGCTTATATACTAAAAAAGGGGGCGTCCCGAACGCACTAGGAAATTCATGATCATTCGAGAAATTCATCACGTGTTACGAGGGTCACGTGACTTCCGCTGTCGTAGCAATGTTATAAGTTTTGCCGATACTATATTTTACACGTTTTTATCGCCAGTTGGCGATCATCTCATTATTTTATTTTGACTGTATCTTATTATTTATTATATGTGATATGAGTTTGTAGCGTATTTTTTTCAAAGCCTACTCTAATAAAAATTTAATTTTTACATGATACATCGACTATTTTGGTTTACAGGTGTCGTTTGTCTTCATACTAAATATTTTATTTAATTTTGATTTTCATATTCGATCGTCGAATTCAAAATATATAGTCTTAATAACTTTATTTATTTATTATTAGGGCTAAAATACGTTATTGTATATTTCTTAATACTCATTTCGTACTTTTGTGGAAATCTAAATCATTTTTATGTTTTATTTTATAGAAGATACATCTTTAGTTGTCATGGTATATATAAAACAAATCGACACAAGTGAATGACCTGAAATTGTCTTCTATCATAGATATTACAAAAGCTAGTGAGACTGTGTAGTGTCGCAAGATAGGACTAATCTAAATAACTTTTTGGCGGTAATGGACAATACTCAGTTCAGGTGCATGTGCACTAATGGATGGAGCAGATGTTGCAAAAGTTAACCCAAGTTAGTTAACTCCTATTCACTACTGTTACACGTCACTGTACATTAATTAACTAATAATATGACAGCGCATAACTATGAAATATTCACCTGAATTTACTTTTCCCAGATATTTTTAAAGGCGTTAGAAAACTTTACGTCTGAGCTACTTATTATGTTTAGCTTTAATTGTATTTTATTTTATTTTGCCATATATTATTTATATCATATTGTAATTTGAAACTAATGAGCACAATGTCTAAACTGGATCGGCAACAAACTTAAAGTACAGTTAGTTACTTAACCACAGACTGAACAGATGGACTCTGCTTGTCTTGTCCCTATCTATTTCTTTTTTTTCTTCTCTCTTTTCTTTTTCTAATAGAAGGTGATTCATTCTTACAAGTGAAATCCGGTTCCCAGCTCACAGTTTATTTTCTCCTCCTAATGGCAAGTCCAAAACCTGTATTTGGATTTGCTTATATTGAGCGAAAAGTTGTTAGTGAACTTTTTGTGGTTTTGGGTGTGTATATTCAGTATTCATTGTACATTCCAAGCAAATTCTGAAGGTTCTTGTTAATATGAAGTGGTGTCTTGCAATTCAAAACCAAATCTATAAGATACTGGTTTTATGTAGTCCCAAATTTCAATGTCTTGGCCACTCGAAAATAAAAACTTTTCTGAAAACTAACATTACATCTTTGCTATGCATATAAGTGTTTATAGTTAAATAGGACCCATAGTCGTCTAATTCATTTTGAAGTGTGCATTGTGTGAGAGGAAGTGTCTTTATCATAATTATAATTCAATGATGGAAACATTGAATTACCAGCTCCACCATTAGATTTGTCTAAAAAATTAGTTCATAAGTATAATCAATTAATATTTTCGCATGCAACTTTATTAAAATTTACAGCATTGTTGCAGACGATAAATGTGTTCGTTTGTTTGTTCTTTAGTGAAAAGCTACATAATAGTCCATTTCGTTCTGTCTACCTATGGTTATGGAACCCAAGGTTTTAGCGTTTTAAATCCATAAACTTACCATGCATTGAACCATCAGGGGATATGGAAAAAAATAATAAACAAGAGACGATAAAAATGTTATGGTATCCTTCAAAAATGTTTGAATTAATGTGCGTTTTTTATTTCATCGAATAATTTGAAGCTATTTTACCGAATTAAGTGTAAATATTTATGCTTTAGATTTTTTGAAAAGAGATCATATTAATCCTAATAAGAACGTGT